GGCCCATCGACAAGCACAGTTGCCGTCATTAGCAACGTATTGTGACCTTCAGCATTTCGCCTGAACGTTTCCAGGATAGAGTAATCACTTCGTGCGGCGGGTCTCAGACAATCACGCCTCGCAAGGCACCAGTCAGTTACGCGCTTGTGAGCGCATCGCTAAGTTGGTATCTGTGAACATCAGGCACACTATTTTAGCGAAATGGTATTAATGCTCAAGATTGCATGCAATTTTAGAATTAGAGACAAGAAACCCGTGTCGTCTTATCCGCAGCGATCTCTTAGGACACATCAGCTGTCCCATATCAGTAGGACCAGTCGTCACACAACCTAGAGAGACGAGCATGTTAGCCCGGCACCGCCCCGAGCGCCTGGGGGAAGGGGGAGCAGGTGAGAGCACCGCCCCGAGCGCCTGGGGGGAGGGGGAACAGGTGAGAGCATTGCCCCGAGCGCCTGGGGAAGGGGGAGCAGGTGAGAGCACCGCCCCGAGCGCCTGGGGGGAGGGAGAGCAGGTGAGAGCACTGCCCCGAGCGCCTGGGGAAGGGGGAGCAGGTGAGAGAACCCTTGCGCCTCCTGGGATCTAACCGTCAAATCGAAAAAGACGTCCGACGACGGGAAGCCCTGGTGCATATCACCCGGGCAATGCAACGTCAGCATCTGCCACGTAGCCCAAGACGTCACAGGCTGCCCAGAATACCTCAGAAATCACCACAGCTTTTTACTGACTTCGGATCACCCTAGCATTCATGGCACTGACCGCAGGGCTTCGTAACCCGCGCCGCACGAAAAGGCGTGTTTCGCGCTGCAGACTCATGCCCTGCTGTTCACGGCGGCCAAGGGCCCCGGCCACTTCAGGTTCAAACAGGTCACGGTGGAGCCACCTTACTGGATTTTTTTATCTTTCTGCCCACATGGCCACGCTATGGACTGGGTTGGAGATGCATTAGCCACACATACTTAACAAATACGCAGTGCAAGTCATTTGATTTCATTGGGCGCCCATACTTTGACCACAAATAACTCTGCCGCTGATCTGCTGTGACCTGGCATAGTATGAGTAGCTCTGCCTGACACACAGACAAACTAGTCTATAAATGACATCAAAACACGAAAGGTATCTGCGAATCGCTGCCCGCGCAAGTAAATATCATCGCGCATGCTGTCGCCGATAACGCGATAAATCCGAGACGTTTTCCCTCAGATACGTTGAACTGATAACCTAAAATGTGAAACAAATTTGAGGTACCTACCTGGAACAGATCGGAAGGTAATCCAGAAACTGGGGACGATCGACTTTTAACCACCCCACGGTGGTTACCGACCATAAACATAACCCGCCGTGGCAGATTTACGATCATTATTTGCTGGGCAGGCCACTGATCAGACGGATAGAATAAGACGCGTCACCAAGATCGAGCACAACAAATCGCTCTCTCGAGTGTTAATGCATTTGATAGCTCAACATGTTTGCGGCCAAAGAATTTCCGTTAACATTGGCAGTACCTCACCAAAAAGAAGCTTATCCCTATATTCGCAGAGCCAAGTTTCACAAATGGTTGCCGTAGACGGGTAGATGCCCAGTGATATGATGATATGACGATGCCCGAATTCAGAACCCAGTGCATGTCCTTTTGTTAAGTTCTTGTCCGTTCAAGGCCGTCGGCCGGAGCATGGCTGAATGTGGGGAGGGGCCTGAAGTAAGCTAAATAAATGGCATGGTCTGTGCTCATTACTGGCCTTGACAATAAAGATAGCCCACTCGTGGCAAGTCATGCTCCCAAACTACTGCTCGCTACGTGGCCACATTCCTTGACGTGGTGCAAGGTCACACACATCGAAAAGGTCAAGTGAGGCTACGAAGGCGTGCAATGCTTAACACACTTCTAATTGCAGGTCACCGGGTACCAGCAAACACATAAATGTGACCTAAAATACCACCCAAGACACTACAACACCACGTAGATCAGCAATGAGGTAGCACACAGATGCAACAGGTGACCAAGCTTGGCCGCTCCCATCCTCACGTGGTGGGGCTCAGACCGCGCGACGGCCACCGCTAATTGCTTCTCCAGGCTGGCATGGCGGCGTATTTCTGCACGTCACCAGCCGGCGGACCGGTGCAGAGCAAATAGCGGAAAGTCCAGAGAACCGCCGGGCAGTCATGCATGCTCAGGGTCGGTCTCCCCACCCGTCCACTCCTAGCGATCACGACTGTCCACTCAACGTCTCCGAAACGCTGAGCTGACGGTCACGTGTGAGCCCGGCCGGCGGTGTGACCGGGGTCACGTGACACGCGTCAGCGGCGGCCCGAGTCACGTGAGCGGCTGGGTCGCGCGTGACGGCCGCGGGGTCACGGTCGGGGAGGGAGCGAGGTCGCTGCAGCGCGCCCCCGAGCGCGGCTGTCCTGCCGACAGAGGCTGGCGGGCCGCGACCGATCGCTGAATTACACAACGACGGTATCGCCGGGGACGGCGTTCAGCGTCGCAATCTTCAGATGGTGTTCTCTGCCTTATGACACCGACAAATGTGAAAATTAGCCGCATCCTCGCGGAAACCAAACATCGAGTCAAACAGGGTACGCTCGGGACGATTCGACCCCGGATATTGTTTAGACACTCATGTCCTAATGTCAAAATGCAAACCGCGTGACCGTGACAGAGATAATCACCCCAGGGTGATCAACCAATGTGCCTACGGTAAGCGGCAATAGGTAAGCTTATGATGCATCAGAACTATGAGATCCAGTGTACTGACATCAGTGAGTCATACCAAGCATATGGAACAAGTTATCATGGATGACCTATAGGCGGTTTCAAGTAATAATCTAAGAGTACAAAGTAGTGCTGACCCAGTTGCAAGAATTAAACGCTACACATCCGAGAAGCCTGGTATATCCCCGGCCAAAAATAAAGCTCGGGCACCTGTCTAAGATTGCCCGTGGCCCACATCGATGGAAAAATAAAGCCACGTGACGGGGAAAACCATCGCGTACCGACAGCTACACCAGCACTAACCAGCCCCAAACAAACAGGCATGCCAGCACCGAAGGCGGACAATCACATCGTTCTGAGCCGCAAGTGGTGCAGTTTCGTGGCTCAAGTATACTGTGATCGATCGTAGAAGGCGCGTAATACTGAATGACGGTATGCGGGCTCCACCCAGAAAAAATAAACTGCACGCCAAGCGTCCATCAGATAAATATAGCAGCCTACTCATATTCCACTCAATGGAGGAACACGGAACGCAGAAGCCCGCCTGACGGCCCTCGTGCAACAAGCTATACACCCCAAGCCGCTGTGAGCCATGCGCTCTGAACTGGCTAGAAGATCACGGCTGGGTATAAACGAATCTCCTCTTTCCTAACGATCTAAACGAGACATTGGGGATGACAGGAGCTAATAGTCAGGTGCACCTGAAGACCCTCAACTTGCCTTCGGGGGCAACTGGGAGAATCGCAATAATCTAGTCTTTGAGCAACTGTGCTACTCAAAGGATTGCGTCACGTCGAATCCGCAAAGCCGTAACGCCGCATAACAGACAGTTATGAGACAACAGCTAACAGGCTCATTAGCCCAAGATCGACGTCACGCCCTTCCAGTTAACAAACAAGGCTGTTTCCAACCGACGGAAATGGACGTTAATTATAACTGGTTAGGGGCGCGCGTCACACGATCGTCTCCGCCCCGAGGCCAGCCAATCCAGGTCCCACGAGCTGCCGATGTGCCATTAAATCTATCCCGGATGAGGATCTGCGCTATTGCACAACACGCGAAGAGGCCTCAGATGCCAAGGCCTTAACCTGGCGGGTGGTGCCGGGTCACAGCAGTGGCCCCGCGTCGCGACCAAGGTCGCCTTCCTTCCCGGATGTGAACAGGTGAGATGCCTGTTGCGGCGTGACAAGAACGAGATGGAAACGGGGGTAAGTGCTACAATACAGATGATGTTAAAACCCCGGGAATAGAATATCACCTTTGGAAATCCATGGAAAAGAAATGCACCAAAGCGAACAGACTGAAATGGTTGTCTCATGAATTTGACTGGCAGAGATGGTGACTTCTGCCCTACATTAGCAGGTACACTGACAAATGGCTGCTTATGATTTGACTGACTATGGCCCTGTCAATTTGGATGGATATCAAACGGATGTAATGTGCATGCTTCCCCGGGCTGATAATGGGATAACCAAGCAGCGCGTTTTGTCAAGTTCCAATCCAGCTAACGCACCAACGGAAGACGTCATCATCGCTCAATGCATTCATCGTGACACCATCGGACGCTTCCACGCCAGTCAGACCCCAGACATTATGTGCCACGTGACGACGCTGACGCACCTCGAGCGTCGGCCCCACACTTCCGACGTGACCAGCCGCGAGCAGCGCCCGCATGAGGAAAGTGGCGAGCCGGGGGCGGTGCGTCGCAGCGGTACAGCGCAGCAGACCGGTCCGCGAGCCGCGCGCGCGTGCAGACCGGCGCGCGTACAGGACGGCGCGCGCCGGGCCCCGCCCGGCCGGTCGAGCGGCGGGAGCCCAGTCTGAAGCGCGTGAGGTCGATCAGCGCCGGCTCGCCGTCACCATCGACCCGGCCCACTGACCGCGTGCGTCCCGCCGCCAGCCGCCCAGCGTACGGCCAGGCCCTGTGGCCGACCGGCGAGCGGCGGACAGCACACGGCCAACGGAGCCGTCTGGGAGACATCAGGGCTGGGCGTCGCCCCGTGCGGGGCCGCCACTGGCCGGAGCGGACCGGTCGCTCTGCCGTCCGCCCCGGCAACCGGTCACGCGCTGACAGTGCGCCGGTCCACCTGGCGGGGTCACAGACCCAGCGTGGCGCCGACACGACCGAGCTGCCGCTCAACGGGCTTTCGACAGCGGCACGACAGATGACGACCGGCTATCGACGGACGTGGACGTCCGGCCAGCCGGCGTGAGCCGGCGCGGCGGACCATTGCCGTGCCCGCCCGGCCTGTCCGCGACGGAGTCCGGCCAGTCATCCGCTCGCACTCACCAGAGGTTGACATACTGCGTCATCTCCACGTGGTCGCTGATATTGCCCTTGTCGATGTGCCGGTCGAGGAAGCCCTGCAGCGCGGTGCGCGGGTCCAGCGGCGGTTTGGCGGCCACCTTGCTGGCGAGCGGGCTGGAGCGGCGACGTAAGCTGCCATTCACCCGGTCCAGGTCGGTGTCCAAAGAGAGGAAGCTGAGCTGCTCGACCAGCGACATGTCGGCCGGCAGATCTGCGGACGATGCCGCCAGCTGCCGGGCCAGCGGGCGCCAGACTGACTGCCAGCTCACCTGGCCACCGCGCGGCCGCCGTCGTCACGCCCCGCGCCGCCAGCGCCGACGCCGAGAGGGGGCGGCAGCAGGCGCGCCGCGCTGCCCGGGAGCCGCCGCCGCCACCGCGGCCGGGAGCGCCGCAGGCCGCTCCGGCCGGCCGGCCCAGCGAACGGGCGATCTCTGACCCGGGGAATCCTGACCTCTGACCAGTGGCGGCGTCTGCAAGCCGCGGAATGCGGCGGCGAGCGGTCCGGACGTGCCCAGACAGCCGGTCGCCGGAGCCGGCGCGTCGCTAACGGAGCTCCACATCGTCCACCGCTTCGACGCCTGCAGGTCGCGGCAGCGTAACGAACCGCGGGCTACGTCGTCAGGGTCCGGCAGGGATGAGCAGCGACCAGCGCGTAACAAGCCCGCAGTGACACCAGACACCAGTCAACGGGTGCCATGTCGATGCAGTTCGCAATGACCAGAGCGAACCCTGCCGCGGCACCTTGCAGCACCTGCACGCGCGTGCCCTCCGTTCCAGTCCGACAGACCACCCGACACCTCGATTATGGACAGAGCCGCGCGCGCGGCAAACGTCCAACACCGGCGCCTAAGCGCGGGAGGGAGACGGGCCGCACGCTCTGCACCGGACCCAACCGGTCGGTCGGGCAGACCACAGCTTGGGCGCATTGCAGCGGGTTCTCAGCACTCGCGTTCGGAAAACCGGCCGGCCGGTGTGTCCGGCGGGGCCTTGAGCCGAAGGATACAAACTGAGAAAGTGATCAGACAGGGCGTGGCGCGCGGCACAGGGAGCACGCCGACGGGCGGCCACGGCTGGGCCGTCAGACCCGAGCGTGACCTGCCGCTGGGCCGAGCTGCCGGGCATCGGGGTGGCGCTCGGTACGCACCGGAGGTCAGGCATTCCGCGCCCGCCGGGGCGATCGCGCGCCGCGGACGCGCCGGCCTTTCCTAGTATTCCCAATCCGTCTCCCGGGGATGTTCTATTGCGATGTTGTTCTCTGCAGCCGCTTAGGAGTACAGCCCTGAGCTCTCCTGGCGCGGCGAACACGGGCAACAATATTACATTTCATTTCGTTTCCGACTAGCGTTTCAGCTCATTTCGACCCCGCCGTTCGTTGCGACTTGTACTGCTCGGATGGTTTCTTAGCCCAAAACACTGCACCTTCCAAAAAGACTGATGGAATGCAGTGTCGGATCGTCACGTCGCCATAATGGGTGCTCCGAGAGCTCCCTCATCCAAACCACCTAAAACCACTGCGTATCTTACTGCCGCCCACCACTGATGTAGCAGACCGAAAGGCACAACTGCAATCGCTCCGTCGGCACGCACGCATACCTGATCCAATCGACCCGCGGCAGTAGTGACGTCATGTGGCGCAACCGGTGATGGCATGCATAGGTGGCGCAATGCCAGAGTGTTGGCGTTTCCACAGCGACGCAGGGGGTAACTGCTATCGGTAGCTGGTGTCAATGTATGTTGGCTTCGCGGCGCCATCCTTTGGTAGTCGGGTCCAAGCTAAGACTAGCATTACAAAAACATGCCTTTGGTGTAGGGTGGTCAAACTGTTGGAAGCTTTGAGACATTTATGTTCATCCTCTGATTCTGTTCCACTTTATGTAACACATTTCTGGCAAAACGCTTTGACAATCTGATAGAGGCTAAGGCTCTTTCAGATGAAGGCCGTTCGCGCTGAGCCTCAGCATTTTTACTACTTCAGGTTATTTTCCTGCTGTCGGGGTTGCTGTCCGTTATTTACTCTTTCCATCAGAAAACTAGCACGAGCTGCACTGACAGGTTTAGAGACTGGGAGAGCAGAAGAGAGGGGGAGGAAGAGGAGGAGCAGGGCTTTGGCTTGGGCTGTTGGGTATTTGGTGAGGTATTCGGAAACTAGTCCATTCCTCTCCAGTGCTAGGTGGCTGATCCGGTCTTAAGCAGATGCTATCTCTCTCTAGCTTCCTGATAAGTTTATTTATCATTCAGAAAACTACTACCTAACATGGCGAAGATCTTCAACATCTGAGGCGGTGCGGCGTACACAGCATGCTGTTGCTGTGCTATTTCCGCAGCGTATGGCTCGCAACTTCCTTGGGCCGGATGTACTCATTGAAGTCGGGCAGCGGCCGGCCTCACCAGGACCGCGGAAGCGAACAGACCAACTAGAGACAGGGAAGCGGCCGGCCCGTCCAGAGCTAAGGAAGCGAACAGACCAACCAGAGCCAGGACAGCGACAGGCCTACCCGGAGCCAGTGGCCTCACTAGGGCCACTAGCTCATGCTCTGATAATCGTTATGGCACACCACTGCATGACCAGAACCTCATACAGGTGGACTTGAAAACTTATCTCCTTTGAGACCAGAACTAGTTTCTCCACCGATTAAAATCACGCGGCGGAAGCAACACTGGCTGTAGATGCCTCATCACACGGGACAAAGTGCATGCAACTTAGAAAGAAGGCGTCCGATTTAACGCCCATCAGACGCGTCACGAAGCCTTGCATTCCGCTCAGAGGTGGCGTCCCCGGCTCTCGACACCCGATCAAGCTTAGTGGAGTTGGCTCATGTCTTTGCACTTGCATATTTCGGGGGGCCGCTAGTATTTGCCTATGGATGAATATGGATGGATATGGATACTTCAGGGAGTGCATCCGGGAGTATGGATGATGTCTATGGATTTCTGATCGAAAGACCGGACCACGAAAGAAAATCGCTGACCAAACACGCACGCCAGCTATTACCACTCCTCTTTGGCATAACTTTGCTTTCCAATGACATGTACGGGGCAAAATATGACGGGTCACGAAGCGGTCTACTGTGCCGTAGAGCCAGATCCCAGAACAAGACGATGGCCGGCGAGATGGTCAGAGTGCCCTCGGACCTCCAGACTCCGACGGACCCAGAACAGTGGGGCCGTTAGAAGCCCAAGTGGTCCTCAAACCTCCGGGATAGTCAGACGGCGGAAACACAGCCAAAATTTTTGACAATATTTTCCCCAATGCTCGTGTTCGACTTTGCTTTCTTGCCACTGATCAAAAATGGCCTATTGACCAATGGGCAATGACACAGCGGCATGAAGGCGCCAGAAGTCCAACACAATCGCGAGCTCACATCTCAACCGCTACGCTGATACAGGCTTGACGATGCCTTTATCTTGTGAGAGGACGATGCTGGGGCTGTCATTCAGCGCCACTGAGTACAATTCCTGGGTACTTGCACTGGGCCTGGCGCGCTGTTCAGCTCAGCTGGCATGGAAAGGGCGGCAAGGGTCCGCTCCATGCAGACAATGATAAATGAATCGATAATCTGTTAGTATGTGTAGTCCTGGGAAAACAAGATTTTTGGCACTGCATCGAATTTAGAAACTCAAAACACGGCAGAATGACAAGTTTTCCTCATACATAAACTGACAAATGGACGCCGAGTTCCCGCTGTCGAAAAGTCTTCGAACGCTTCATGATATGATTCTCCCGATATGACATAAATATAACCTTGAGACCAGATATCAGCCGTATCAGAAACATGCCTGAAGCCCAAACGGCAGCAGAATTCGGGCTGCTGTTGATACCTGAGACAGTTCAGCACTCCCTCCAAGCCCGTGAGACACACTTCGTGGTTCAAACCGGACTGACGGCCCGAACCAGACTGACGGTTCGAGCCAGACTGACAGCCCGAACCAAACTGACAGCCCGAACCAGACTAACGTTCGAGCCAGCCTGACGGTTCGAGCCAGGCTGACAGCCCGAACCAGACTGACGATTCCAGCCAGACTGACAGCCCGAACCAGACTGACGGCTCGAGCCAGACTGACAGCCCGAACCAGACTGACGGCTCGAGCCAGACTGACAGCCCGAACCAGACTGACGGTTCGAGCCAGACCGACGGCTCGAGCTAGACTGACGGTCCGAGCCAGCCTGACGGTCCGGGCCAGCCTGACGGTCCGGGCCAGACTGACGGCCCAAACCAGACTGACGGTCCGGGCCAGACTGACGGCCCGAACCAGACTGACGGTCCGGGCCAGACTGACGGTCCGGGCCAGCCTGACGGTCTGGGCCAGCCTGACGGTCTGGGCCAGCCTGACGGTCCGGGCCAGACTGACGGCCCGAACCAGACTGACGGTCCGGGCCAGACTGACGGTCCGGGCTAGACTGACGGTCCGGGCCAGACTGACGGTCTGGGCCAGACTGACGGTCTGGGCCAGACTGACGGTCTGAGCCAGACTGACGGCCCGAACCAAACTGACGGTCCGGGCCAGACTGACGGTCCGGGCCAGACTGACGGTCCGGGCCAGACTGACGGTCCGGGCCAGACTGACGGTCTGGGCCAGACTGACGGTCCGGGCCAGACAGACGGTCTGGGCCAGATTGACGGTCCGGGCCAGACTGACGGTCCGGGCCAGACTGACGGTCTGGGCCAGATTGACGGTCCGGGCGAGACTGACGGTCCGGGCCAGACTGACGGCCCGAACCAGACTGACGGTCCGGGCCAGACTGACGGCCCGAACCAGACTGACGGTCCGGGCCAGACTGACGGTCCGGGCGAGACTGACGGTCCGGGCCAGACTGACGGTCCGGGCCAGACTGACGGTCTGGGCCAGACTGACGGTCTGGGCCAGACTGACGGTCTGGGCCAGATTGACGGTCCGGGCCAGCCTGATGGTCCGGGCCAGAATGATGTCTCCGCCCCGGTAACAGTAGGGCTGAGGGGAGGAGGGGCGGTCTGACACCACCTGGGATTCGGAGTTCCGGAGTCGGCCTCGGCTCCGCCGTCCGCTCGACCCGGAGCGTCCCAGGGACCTCCATCCCCCAGGGGTCCTGCAGAGACCGGGGCCGATCTCGGAGTCGAGACCGGCCGTGGGTCCACGGGGTCTCCCCCTCCCTTCCCCAGGGGTCCCGCAGAGACCGGGGCCGATCCCGGAGCCGGTCGTGGGTCCACGGGGCATCTTTCTCACTCCTCCAGAGATCCCGCGGAGATCGGGGCCGACCACGG